ACACACACACACACACACACACACACACACACAAATGGTTGCTACAGTTTATTGTGTTATGACTCAGTAACTGCTGAAAGAAACAGAGGATTGTCCGTGTATACAATTGGCCACAAAATTAAAACCAGTCTAGTTACATATACAGGATATACAAATCCCAGATCTTAATCCGTTGACATATTAGTTTTAGAAAACATTTACGAGACAGGAGTTGATCATTTCAGCTTTTACTTCCTGGTATTTGCATCTAGATATGTTGAACACCCTTTTGTCTGCACACACCCAATTTTTCAACTGATAGTAGAACATGTGCCAGGTGTTTATTGTCGCCCAGGTGTTGTCTTTCAGTTTGAATGTTTAAACTTGTCCATGCTTGTGTATTTTTCCATGACTAGATTTCTGTATTGCCCTTTTTACAGATATTACTCTACTGTGGCTAGACAAACCACCGGTTCAAGAAAACATGACCATACACCAACTCTGGCCTCCATCTTTGGCTTCTTGCTAGTTTTTGTATTGATTGTAAAATATAAATGCTAATGTTTTATGCTTTACACAACCAAGCCGCCATCTTTATCATGGATCTACTAACTTCCAGTGAGCCTGAGTGCCATCTTAGATCAGCTGATAGGGGCCTTGTGTTTTTTGCATTACAGGCCCCCAAACTCTAGAATGACTTACCTGCTGAGAACAGAAATACTATATCTGTTACTGCTTTTAAATCCCCTCTCAAAACACAATAAAAAAAAGGCTGAATGTGTGTATTAAAATGTAGTCATCATTTTTTCTAACTTTATGACAGTTTTATTTTTAATCTTTGTAGAACTTTATAGCTTTGTTAATCATTTTTAACAGAAATAAAGCTCATTATTGTTATAATTAAAATTAAACCCATGTGTGTGAGTGTGTGCTTTTTACCCTGAGTCCATCATCATTCTCATCCTCATGTGCTGAACTGGAGGGAGATGGTGTGGCTGATTTACTCTCTGGAGGTGAGGGAGAACTATGAGTGACAGAGTTGCCGCTGAGCCCCAGCTGGGATTGGTTGATGGTGGACAGCTGACTCTGTTGAGACATGCCTGATTGGTTCCGGGGTCCAAGAGCTGCTTCAATTGGCTGTTGACTGCTGGTAAACCGAGAATCTGAGTTCACCATCTGCTGCATCTGTGCAAAGACAGCAAGCGATCATTGCAGTGAATGATTCTGACGACTGGTTTAAAATGATTTCTGTCCATGCAAAGATTTTGGCACCCAATCAGTTTGAATTCCCGTTCCTACTAAGACGCATGAAAACGCAGGCCTATCGAATGATCACATGACCACTCACACACACTGATATACATGTAAACATTTGTATCATTGTAAAATGCAGAGTTTAACTGCACAACAGCTGTTGGCAAAGACAACAGGGTCAACAACACTGTTGCGTTCTATACTGGCAGCTGAAATTAATGCTGTTGTTTTCTTCGGGAAAGGGGTCATATGATGGCCTGACAAATGAATGATGGCTAAATACGTAGTGATGTGGATGTAGAGTTTGTAACTAACTGGCTTTGTAGCTGGAAATGTTGAAGAGCATCTCAGGAATTGCTAGAGACAGTTAGCAAAACAGTTTGCTAACATATTCGCTCCAACTTCATAAGGCTTCTAGCTGGTGAACACCTAAAAAGCCTGTGCATTTACAACTGGAGTTGCTGGAATCCATCAGATGACCAGAAAAATAACACATTAAAAATACAGTGTTGAATCAAATGCTTGTCCTAAATAGTCAAAAAGTAATTTAATGCTGCTTAACACATCACTGAGTCAGGTCATGTTTTCCCTTTTATATAAGGTTTGTATCTAAGATTCCATGATGGAGTGAACAGAAGGTGTGCTGAAACAGTATCTGAGCGACATAACATGTTCATGTAACAGACCTACTTAGGCTTTGAGACAGGCTCTGCCTTTGCCTGATAGGATTTGTACAGTGTGCAGCCGTCCAGGATCCACTAATAATGAAGTCTGATAGTAACCATGGCAACCGGCAATACAGGTCAGATAGAAGATGGGATCAGGAGTCATTTAAAACATCAATTCCAACTTGTGTGTTAATACATCAATATAGATTTTAAACTCCATTTGCTACGCTCCACAGAAGCGGCTACAAAATGTGATCGGGAGCAAATGTTATGATGTCCACAGGTGCAGATTGGACAGATAACAGCACTAGTTTATTCCCTTGTACACTCAGATCCTCAATAATTTGTCAGAGAGCTGCTTCGAGATTTAAAGTGAGGAGACAGCATATAAGACTTATTTTAACAATACGATAAATAAATGAAAAGAAAATTATATTGTATTGGCTCAAATATAAGACGATTTTAAAAAGTGGAGGTCCTCTTACATTTGAAGATGAGACGATAACATGTTTTAACCCCCCCCAATAACACACTGCCAACACATTACACAAGCTCCCCAGACACCTGGAAAAATGCATAATACTTCTTTGAAAATACATGTCCCCCAAATAGACAATGGAGGCAATCTTGAACAAATAAAGAGCAGCTAACATTTTTTTTCATTAATGTTGATATTTAAATGCCACACCAAAATACATTTTAGTAAAAACTTTAGCTTCAGAGCCATGAGGTAAAAGGAAACACAGCAGTTTTACGCCATTCTGGACAAATGGATTGAATATTGTCAACCATTGTGTGGTTTAGATTAGTCAACTGACATTGCCAAAACGTGAACCATCTCTTAGTGAGTTAGTCATCAGTGATATTCTGTTCATTTCTCAGGAAAACAAAAGTTATCACTGCCAACACCCGCAGCATGGGAACTTTGACACCCATTATAGCAAAATATGACGATGGGACTCGGCTTATGAAATGTATTTAGAGTTTCCACTTAGTAAGCATTGAATAATAACGGATGTGGTCTTCTACGCAGTGCCCCTCCTGGGAAAGCTTTACGTGAACTCGATTACTGGAAACAGGCTCTGAATACAGCTGCGGTATTTAGACAGAATGCACAGTGACATTTCTCTAACTTTGGAACAGGTTTCACATTGATGTACGTACCAGAGAGACGTGCTGAAAAATATCCGCTGTGGTTTGGTACTGATTGGGGTAGGACTTCGATAAATGTCATCGTAGTAAACAGTCAAAATATTCCACTGTCATATGCTCTAAAAAGCTTTTCACTCTGGTCTCACATACAAGCTGATGAATTA